TACTTCAGTGAACTTCACCAATTTCTAGTTCTGGTTCCCATAACAATGCGAAAGTAAAGAAAGTTGATAGTGTCAGACTGCGTGCTTTAAATGGAAATTACATTACTACAATGGAAAGAGCCAGAGTAAAAATAAAATGTTCATATACTAGTATTGAGATCATATACCTCCAGTCTGTCTGTTGTTCAATCATAGCTTTCAAAACTCTACCCAAAGAGCAATTGCATACTTATATACACTGGACTTTTGGAAATAAATATTTTCGTTGGTTTGGAACTCCAAACATATTACCCACAATCTGGGTGTGCTTTTGTACTCTGCCCAACTTTTTGATCAATACTTTATATCAATTAGTGTAAAGTAAGTTTGGTTTTAAACTCGTCTGGAATTTGAAACTGATGATCAAGCTAGGTGGCACCCCTCTTGTATCAAGTCCCGCCTATTTTAAATTTACGGTCAAAGTTGAACCATGCCCAAAAGTTCAATCGATACTCTATATCGATTTGTGAAAGGTACATGTAAGTATGGTTTCACGTTGTAAAACGGGGATATAAGCGATTTTCTATTATAAAACACATGTCCACCAAGATTCAGGGGACATGTCTGGGGTCGAAAGCTCAAAGTGTTGCATATACAAAATCAAATTTGCTGTACTTCAGTACTACGGTACTTAAAAATGACACGGATGTAATATCGCTTCAATATATTTATTACAAGATAAATTAATAATAAACTTACCCTACATTATATTACATAAATACTATAAACTATTCATAAATCTTTTACCTGTATTTTTTTACGTGAAGGAAAATTTGAGCATAGCTACCACCGTGTTGTACAGCATTGATAACATTTATTCAACACTAGAGGGCGCTAATACCTATTAATCAAGTTGAAATATTCAACAGAGGGTGCTATTGCCTTTTGGGAAATTGGGAGTGGCCTATACCCTATTAGATACATATGTATTTCAAAATGTGAAAGAATATATACAATGTTTATACATGGATAGTGCTGATGTCCTCATCTATGATAACAGTAGTTCACTTGATGACGAAATGTTCATTGAACAACAACTCCTATTTATGTGATGAAGTATTGTTATTCGATGGCTCATTAATATTTTGATGTGTTAAGTGTAGTTCATTAAACTAATGTAGTCTATGCACACAAATTTCAATCACTGATTGAGCCTTCACTTTAACTTGAATTTTCAAAATCAAAGTCTATTTTTTTTCATCAGATCCTCTGTACTGTAAAAGACTTTATTTTCGCTTGGAATTAATTTTCACTATTTTTCCTGAAGAAATGTTTCAGTGAAAATAAAATCCAGAGAATATACCTAAAGTAAATTCCTGAAATTTAAAAGTGTTTTCAGCGAATATTAATTCCAGCTAAAATAAAGTATTTTACAGTATTATGTAGAACGCTCACTCATCATCCAATCTAAGTTTTTTTAACTTCATAGTTTTCCACACAAAAATTACTCATGAATTTACTTCGTTAAAATTAAGTTCTGAAATAAACTTCAAAATCTGCCATCAACATCGTATGTACTATGTGACGCAGTTTAATTTTTGTGAAACAAAATAGTCATAACTTTGACAATATTCAACGTTATACTATCCTTCCTTCAGCTGATTGTTCCTGAGTGATTCACAGTTTCATTTCCTGCCACTTAATAATATTTACTAGCTATCAACGCAATCCTTGGCAATTTCCACATCAATTGTACTGTTCATTTCAAGTCTCATTATGCAATATCTCATTAAATTAGCATGTGATACATTATTCCTCTTTTTTCTTGTCTCTACGCTCTTAACTATGCAAATTTTTAATACAGGCTTTTACAATCTCTGTAATTACTAAAAAAAATCATAATCATAAACAGCGTATCAAAATATAACTAATTACATTTAAAAATACATTCACATTATAATTTATAGAACACGTAAGTTCAGGCATATAAAAAACAAAGTAATACTTGGATATCAACACTTTTGGCGTCTACTTCAAAAATACTCTCATTCGATCACAAAAGGCTTCACATATGTAAAGTTCAACATTTTATGCAAACATTGCACAAATCAACTGGTCACCAGCAATATCAATATAATATTAAACTATTGAATGGTCATTTACTTGTCCATCAGTCGTTATATTTGTCCATCAGTTGAGATTTATCATTGTCTGATGCAGAGATAATAATTAATTGTGATGATGCTCTAGAAATGAGATTAAGCATGAATTTGTTATAATCTCCTGTCTGTGGATTGATCTTTGGGTGCACAGCTATAACGACTGGTTTGCTTAAACCACTGAAGTGTTTGACGCTGTCTACAGTAGTGGCTTCTCCTACGGGTAAGTCACTTCGCTCCTCTGCTTCTTGTTTCTTGCTGAAGAGAATTGCCACATCGCTGGCATGGTAACCACGCTGGGTATATTCACGGACAAGATTTGGTAGTAGAGTGTCAATATCTGCATTGTGCGATGACAAGAATTTCACTTTTTCACCAGGGTAATCATGAGCTAAACTAGTGTCCAACGAATCAACTTCATCATAATGACTTTGAAGAAATTTGGACGCAAAACCAAACAGCTCACCCGAGCATCTGATTATTTGTGTAAGCCCAAATGTTATCTTGTGGGTCAAATCTGGCATACCTGTGTTGAACTTGTGCACCTGCAGATTTGTGTCAACAAAAACCCAAAGGTAACCATGGTGACCGGCACCATCCTCACCTCTCCTGACGATGTGATTTGCTAACCTGTACCAATCACCATCCCAATCTTTGAAATTCTGAGCTTCATCAATAACAATGTGTTTTATGTTCTCATAGCAACTGCCTTTCTCACTGCTAGAATTGTAGTCTGCAAGAAACTTCCTTCTGCAAACTGCTTGACATATATTGAGTTTTCTGTTAAATAAAAATAAATCTTATTAAACAAATATATATGGGTATGATCCTGTGGTACAATATGATAACAATCCCACCATTGATTTAAAAAAAATACAGATACAAATGAAAGAAATGGTTAATATTTTTTTCTACTAATGGTGCATATTCATAAATGATGTACTGCAGACTTCATAAAAAGCTGATAAGCTCAGTCATGTCAGTTCACTATAGTTACAGACTATGCATTGTGGGATGCCTATGTTTAATTGATATGTGCATGCAACTTGTGGCTATATCACTTGCGTAGTACCAGTAATGTTACTTAGTAACATTAGGTAGTTATGCTACTGGATGAATTTTCGTTTATTGCAAACGCATCCTATAAACATTTTTTCTAGTTTTTAAAATTTCCTCACCGTAGATCACAACCATTGCACTAGACCTGGTTAATTACTTAAAAAACTTCCATGTTTACAATAATGTCCAATTCCTGATTCCTGAATTACCCAGAAACGCAATGTACTGATAATTCTTTTTGCGCAAACGTAACCTACCTAGCAATGTAACCTACCTAGCAATGTAACCTACCTAGCAATGTAACCTACCTAGCAATGTAACCTACCTAGCAACGTAACCTACCTAGCAACAGACAAGGCATCAAATTAAGAATAGTAGCTTACCTAATATTGTCACACAGAGGTTGATTTTCACATAAGTACAGTACTTCATCACCATGGCAACCAGTTTTTAGCAGCCCTTTGATAAAACAAATGGCTGAGAGAGTCTTTCCTGAACCTGGAGGACCATATACCCATAGTTCCTTGTGCTGGCGGTATAGCCATAGCAACTCAAACTGTTGCGGACTGAATGTTAGAAGAAAAGACTTTTCTTTATGCCATGATTCATTGATCATTGGTGTGAATGTTGCCATGACAACAACTATGCTGTGAAGAAGTGCCTGGATTTTGTCTTCAGTGATGTGATACTGCTCCAGACAGTGGTTTTCAAGGATGTAATTACCTGGAACCTTCTCAAGACAACTAAAAGCAAGACAAATGATATTAAACTTTTCACGACAGCCTCCATCTAACACTATTCTTTGTTTTAATTTGGCTCCAAGTTGAACGCTATAATGTTCCGTTTTACTGGTTACAGCGCCCTCAACCAAAGTGATAAGTATGATTCCTGTTTTTGTCAGGAGAAGAACATCACAAACTGCATCCTTTGGTTTGGTAACCATGGAGGCATCAAATAAAGTCCATGACAACAGTATCATGATGCCCGACATAGTACACTGAGAGATAAATTTCTGCAGCCATTCCCTGGCTGGCTTTGAAGACAGTCTTTGTAGAAATCCAGTCGGAAAACAGGATATGGTATCTTCTTTAACTGATAGAAAACAAAGGGAGGAGTCAGAGTGCAAGTTATCGTCTTCATATTGGAATATTCACGGCATATCATGTGAGTTGCATACCCTTAAAATATAAAAACATTGGTTATACTCATTACAGTGGATTGATTTATTATCTCTGAAAAGCTGTTTATTTTGGTTGACAAAACGTGACTGATTTACATATAATCAATGAGGGTAAACAATGAAAGGGGGAATTTTCAATAATTTTTATTTTTGCTGATTTTTGCAAAAATATTTACCCTAATAATTAAGATACAAATAGTCGCCAAGATCATGTTGAGTGCGAGTGAGCCGCAAGACTAGTTTTTGTCTGTCATTGCGTCCTCTGTAATATGTAACCATGGTAAACCGAACAGTGGACGTAATTACGAGACAATACTTGAATGGCAAAAACCTTCACTCTGAATGATCTTGACAACCATTGTATGTGAAAATAAAGCATTCTGCTGTAAATATTAAATATTAAAGATTGAAATAAACCAGTACAAACGTTTAAAGTGTTTCTCTTGAATTACAGTGATGGTGTCATGCAGCATGTAGACCGGAACGGATCTAGGACTCTGAATTTCCAGACGATGATATTTATATTTCAGTTCATCTATATCTGAAAAATAACAACAAAATACAATAATAAAACTAATTTTCCATCCACACAATGCTAATCTTTCTTCCAATTGTCAGATTTTCAATCTTTTTTTATCGAATGAATATCAATAAAACTAATAGCTGTGCAGCATTACATCTCAATTAAAAATTGAATCAGATGAATTCATTAATCAGTTACTATGGAGCAATTGCAAGTTCTTATTTTAGAACCAATTTGTGCATATTAATTAGCTTAATTTGCATATTATTTACCAACTTTCCATTCCATTAATACCAGTTGCTATTTTCATCAGTATGGGAAAATCACAAGATATTATATTTGGTTAAAATTTATATTTTAAATTTGTATTTCATTGAAACTTTAAATAGCAATAGCTTTAAATTATCAGTTAGCATGGGACCACCCAGGTCATCCAATTTAAACAAATTTGATAATTAACTTTGATGATTTTTCTACCATGTTAAACTTCTTGAACAGCAAAATATTTCCTGCCAAAATGTTGCCAAACGCTGTGCAATTTTAAGTATTCTCTAAAATAACTTTGTTTTTATTTTTATGTTAACTACAAGTTTTGATCCAAATTCTTGTAAAAATATTGAAAAAGGTTTTGATAGTTTGTGGTATGAAAGATGACAAAAGGCAACATTTAAAATGGATTAAATTTTTTGATTGAAATTTCATCCTGATAAAAGTAATATTAAAAGGTAGTAACTCATTACAACAAGATTTTGTTTTTGTATCTTATAAATATACATGTATATATATATTTTTGCATTAAATGAAGTACAATTCTGTTTTGCTTAGTGCTACATGTAGACATAACAACAAATTTGAAAAACTGGGAATGAACTCGATGTGGGTTATTTTGCAAGAATTACTGAATAAATATGATGGTTTAATTTTGTACATACATGTACATATGTGTACTATACAAAATACTTTATTTTCGCTTAGAATTAATTTCTGCTATTTTTGCTGACGGAATGATTCAGTGAAAATAAAATCCAGCGAAAATACCTTTCTTCCTATATTTTAAATTCAACTTGTCAAAAATTATAGAAAATAAATACCGTACAAAACATCTAAAATCAGTGAAAATTGATTCCAGCTAAAGTTTTACAGTACAATTATCCAAAAATTACCCGCCCCCTCTTACCTGTGATTTGCATCATTAGATTAGACCTCCAGTCTGTGAATGACAACTGTTCTACTTTCCCATTAACAATATGATAGCTCTCTGGACATTGTGTGTAAACAAGGCCTGGGTACTTGACCACGGACACCACCACAACAACCCGTGAACCAGTGATTCCTTCCGGAGTATTGAGTACCGGATAGAATCCAATATCCCAATGTATACCTCTCTGGACGCGTTGTTTCAGGTGCACCCAAATCGTTTTTTTCATTCTCTCCTCTACTTTGTCGATGATGTCATATTTGGTTGCCTCGTCTGGTATCTCTTCTCCGTAAACCTGACATGTTTTGTCTTCCACACCAAAGATAATATGACCCCCAGCATGATTAGCGAAGGCCGAGACGTATCGCCGAATGAACCAACTGATGCGATCGGCGATCGGTTCTGTCCGTACATCTTTATCACTACTCAGGAACTTAAATTGAATCTGCATGGTCTCTTGAGGGATGCCAGCAATCTGTTTACCGTATTGAAATTCGTTGGGAAACGGTCGTAACTTTGACAGACAACCAACTTGACCATCCTGCTGCATCATCAGTTTCATGACAGTGTGGTAGCTGAGAAACAGCGTTGCGGTGTCTGTAGGAACTCTAGCATGATAGTGAACCGTACAGATGTGATCGGCACCTTTCACGAAGACGTACAAGTCTGGATCATTGAAGCTTCCAACCAGATCAATAAAATTACAGATGTCATCCTCAGATAAGACCCATCTCAACTGTTGTTCAACCCCGCTCCACCACGTGTCGAGCGACTTAAAGTTGACGTCATCATTCTCGTGGGATGTATTTTGCAAATGAAGAATACCACCACCAGAGTTCAACAACGCGCATAGATAAACTTGTACATTGCTGTTCCATCCTACGTTAACACGCTTATTGATGTTGACATCACAGTGTAGAATGGTTTCACCCAATTTTGACAAATCCCTGAAAAACATTCATTAATCATAGATGTAAGTTTGATTGACATGTTACTTTATTTATTAAAAGGCGGTTGTTGTCATACCATGTGCGAGATATGGGACTTATATATACAAAGACCTTGACTGTTGAGCACACTAACGTGTACAAACCAGGATGTTACTGAGCTTCAAAAGATTGGTGCATGTCGCACCCAGCTATAAACTTGTACTTGGGATTTTCATTAGATGAGCGCATTGAACTGTGGGAAAGATCAATGTTTATCAACACAAATGTCACACATGAGCGACACAATGACAACCACCCTTTAATTTTGATGGATTTGATAGGCGGAGTGTACATATAAATTTACATTCTTTCAAAATGGACAAGAATAGCGGACAATCGATCGCTAGCACACCGACAAAAACAAGCTTTACAACTGTCACTGAGAACTTGGGAATGAATTTTCTTGTATGCGGGTCAAAAATACAAAAATCGGATAACCGCAGAAAACTATTCAAAGCAAACAAACATCGCGACCAGTAGTGTATGCATTAACAATCTCTAGTCGGTTTTCTCAAAGTATCTTTAAGTGCACCTTCGATGCCCTCTTGCCATCATAAAGAAACACAAAGAATAATGTGAAATGCAAGCATGCGAAATTTCATTTTCGGCGCAGTTTATATCAAGACAAATCATATTGCAATTTTGACTAGTCAATGCTGATTGTTGGCATATTGCATCACACAATGAACCCAGACTGGTGATAATTATTACCGGTGTCACAAGAGGGTGCCTACAAGGGTCACAAGTCCCTTGATTATGTTGCGGTAACCCGGTTTTCACGGTAACACAGATTTTATTTTATTGAAAAAAACATCACTGTGTGCAAGTATAAGTGCTTAGTTATGACAGAAGTGCAACGTTGGTCAAATCTCAATAGCCCAGCATACAAAAAATGCAATTCTTGACAACATGAAATTGTATTAGATGTGGTTCTATTATAGTAGCACTGCCTTGTGTCAAACGTTTACAAGGTTAACCCAATAATCCTTCTTTCTCTTAGTAATTTTTTTTGTGAGTGTAAGTGAAATAAAATGATAGCAATGGTCGTTGTGATGCATTTTGTTCAATATGGGTCCCATGCTACTTACACATTGTGTGTAAAATGCATAGTTGACACAGAATTTGATGCATATGCTGTGATGACAACTGCCCTCTAACATATTATAAGTTTAAAATCAGTGCAATTATTTGCAATTATTTAATCCAATATATTACTGGCATACATCACCGTCCTCAACACCGACGGTGCATACATGCAAAGACAATAAAAGTGGTGGGGACAAGGGTACCATTCACTTTATTTAAAATAAGATTAATTTCGAATTTTCCGAGTACATCTGCCGTTGTCAGCATTAGTACCCCTTAGCCCCGAGTACAGTCCTGTATATATTTTTTTATTAGACGCATAAAATCCTTAGGAAAGGATAAAAAGGGTCTTACAGAAAGAAATTAAAAAAAACAAAAAAAAACTACAATTTAAAAAAGAAAACAAAAAATAAAAACTTTTTTAAAAAAAAAAAAAAAAAAACAAGTCAAAAACAAAAAAATACAATTTGCAGCCAATGGTGAATACAGAATATAGAATGAACACAGAATGTGGCCTAATACACTGATAGTTGTTGCTGTTTTGTTCCATAGCTGTTTTTTAAGAAGACAGCTAAGGCTGGTGCTAGAGTATGGTTTGCCATAATCAAAATGAATTTATTCTGACTATTTTCTTTATCAAAATTTGGAATTTTATTTTGTGCAGTCAGGAATAATTTGTCCCTATGGTGACTGTAAGCTGGACATTTCATTACAAAATGTTGCTCATCCTCAACTATATTTTGGCTGCACATATCACATGTTCTTTTATCCAGCCGCACATTATTATGTCTGCCTTTCTCAATTTTAAGGTCATGGTTGCTTGTCCTGAATTTTGCAATTAACCTTCTAAGACATGGTTCTGCATATTAATTAGGTAATTTTCAATTTTT